TACTTATGGAAAAGGTGTAGATATGCACATTTTGATTTCTAGAATAATTCTGCCACAATTTTTTAGTCAATAAATATTTTGAATTTGGGGTTTCATTTCAGTAAATTTTTACTGAGTCTAACTACACTATACTCTATACCTACATACTCCCGTAGTCTATACATACTCCCTTACTCTACAATCAGTACACTTTACCAACCTGTTGTACGCCACCAAGGATGATACATACTAATACTACAGGATGGCCTATCCTCATAAGGCCTGTGTGGAACAAATCCCCCCTCTCCCCCCAAGCCAAATCACCAGTTGTGACGTAGGCAGCATGTTATTTCTCGCCTTGACGTAGGCTGTTTAAACAGCTGACGACTTAGTTATGACGTCGGAATGGTGATACACCAATATAGCGACGATCACCACCAAAAACGAGACCGATAAGCAATCCTGTAGGTATGTATCATTCTTGGTACGCCACTGCCCAGTCGGACCCAGCCCAGTTCAGCCTGCACATTTACAAATTCTCTCGGAACATCCCTGGCTACAGGAGGTTGAAAGAGAAATTGTTGATTCCCCCCCACACGCCAAATTTCAATTTATAATAGCACGAATTGTTTCTTGAGTTTACGCACTATTTTGCATCAAAAATATTAAATTTTGCACCGCTACCCTTAAGCTTCTACATGGGGTTGAAAAAGAAATAGTTGCCCCCCACACACACACGCCAAATTTCAATTTATATAGCGCACTGAGTGTATTTTCATCTCTTTCTTTCAGCTTGTTAAAGAAAAAGATAGAAATATATTTTCTTTGCACTAATTCCAACATTCGGAAACGCCATCAATATGTTCTGGACTGATTCGGACTCGGTCCAGATTAGTCCAGAATATAATCCGCGAACAAAGCTCGCTAATATTAATATAAAGACGGGTTACTTTTGGTTAGTCTATGGGCGCTTCCCAGCGACATATTAACTTTGTTTCAACACAGCTGAAAACCCTATACAATTTACCCTCGAATTTACCCAAGGATAATACACACTACACACGGATTGCTTATAGTCTTTTTTTTTTGGGTTTCAAGGTTATCTGGTGTAGCACCGTTGCTACGACATCAACTATGTCGGCAGGCTGTTTGCGCCAGTGTTCGCAGTTTAGAATATTGAAGCAGACGCCAGCAGAATTATAGCCTGTGGTGCAAACACCCTATGTCAAGGCAAGTCAAGGCGAGAAACGACACGCTGCCACATCATCACCGATACTTTGGCACTATTTCTCTTTCAACCCCCTGTAGATGCTTAAGGGTTGCTTTGCAAAATTTAAGATTTTGATGCAAAATGGTGCAAAACTCGGAGAACAATTTGTGCTATTATACATTGAAATTTGGCGTGTGGGGGGGACAACTATTTCTCTTTCAACCCTGTGTAGCGGCTTAAGGGTTGCGGTGCAAAATTTAATATTCATGGTGCAAAGCTCAAGGAACAATTTGTGCTATTTTAAATTGAAATTTGGCGTGTGGGAGGGGCCAACTATTTCTCTTTCAACCCCCTTTAAAGGCCTAATGCTTGCGGTGCAAATTTTAATATTTTTGGTGCAAAACTCAGAGAACAACTTGTGCTATTTTAAATTGAAATTTGGCGTGTGAGGGGGGCCAACTATTTCTCTTTCAACCCTCTGTAGAGGCCTAAGGGTTGCGGTGCAAAATTTAATATTCATGGTGCAAAATGGTGCAAAGCTCGGAGAACAATTTGTGCTATTTTAAATTGAAATTTGGCGTGTGGGGGGGGCCATGGTTAATTTGGCCCCCCCCCAGTAATACTTCTATATAGTCTCTCTCCTGAGGGGGTGCAAATTTTTTTTCGAGTGGTGCAAAATGGATGCAAAAAAATGGTATAAGTTTTAATGGATTTGGAAATATGGGGGGGGCTAACTTAACTGACCCACATATTCGTGCGTGTAGCTCCGAGAGCTCTAAACTTAAGATAAAATTTAATATCCTAAAAATGTTATTCTGAAGCACAAATTGGATGTTTTTTGAATGTCGTGGAAGTTAGCCACAGAATCAGGGACGAAAATCAAATTTTCACAGTCGTCCAAATAAGTAGTGCAAATTAATATATGTAATTATAAATAGTAGGTAATTATTAGCTTTGGTGCGCTATTTAGATTAGATTTTTTTAGAAGTATTTATTCCAATTTCCAATAGACTTTGATATAAGGGGTTGAATTTAGTTTTTTTATCCCTTCGGTGGAATTTCAAAGTCTTATCTATAAAGAAGGTACACCCTAATACCTATTCTTACGCGCACCAAAGCTAATAATTACCTACTATTTATAATTACATACAGTGAGCACGTAAAGGTTGGAATAAAATCTATAAAACATACAGGGTGGATATTTTTCAAAAAACCTCGGACAGGTCAATTTTTGATTTTAGTGGCCGTTTTTTTGATGATAATACCATGTATGTATACAGGGTGACTCAAAAATAAGGTATGACAGCTAGCTTTATTTTTTTAAATGAAAACACCAATTTTTTTATTTCATTTTTAGACTCTACGTTGAATTCTGAACATATTTCATGTATCATGCCCTATAGCTATCTTCAACTGTTTCGGAAATATTGACAGTTGAAAATTGACTTTTTTGCAACTTTGACAGGCTGTACAACCTAAACGGTTAATTTTAGGGGAAACCCGATTTTACATTCCTATCTTAGATTTTTATAAACTATCACTTGATACCAACTTTGAATTTAATCCATGATTAGAAATTCCAAATAAATTTAATCTCCAGTTAAATTCAAAGTTGGTGTCAAAATGATAGTTTATGGAAAACTAAGACAAGAATGTATGATAGGTTTTGCTCTAAAATTAACCTTTTAGATTCTACGGCCTGTCAAAGTTGCAAAAAAGTCAATTTTCAACTGTCAATATTTCCGAGACAGTTGAAGATAAATATAGGACATGATACATGAAATAGGTTCAGAATTTAACGTAGAATTTGATAATGAAATAAAAAATTGATGTTTTCATTTAAAAAAATAAAGTTAGCTGTCATAGCTTGTTTTTGAGTCCCCCATTATACATGATTATACACGACCAAAATTCGACCAAAATGGGCAATGAAATTTCAGTGGATTCGACGTTGGACTCCGACTTTGAGTCCTCAAGCCAACCTAAACACTACGTAATTTGACGTTGGAAATGCTATACCATTTCCGACTTGAAAAGTCGGGAGGATCTAATTATTTATACCTAAGCTGTTATATTTTGAAAATTGGTTCTATAGATTTTTCCTTATTTTCTACCAAATGTGGATATATTATTTTGGAACCATAACCACACCAAGTGATGTCAACTATTTTATTTCGTTGTAATAGGTTCTTGTAATTTATTAGTGCATTTCACAAGTTCCTCTGGTCAAAATTCATAAACGCAGGTAACTTTATTGATAAAAATAACTAAAGTAGGACTAAAAACACAACTGCCTCTCCAAAAATTAGTAAAATTTAGAAAAATATCAATTTTTGTTTAATTTCCCAATTTTAATTTTTAGTTTAATATGGGCTCAAAGATACTTGTGAAACTCCTATTTAATGAGCAATTGTGAAAAACACACTTATGAAGGACTAATTTTGCTGATGTTCGCTGTAAAATTGAAATTAATCTAAAATATCAACAAGGGTGACATCGTCGGTCGAACCCAATACTGTCCGAAACGGCCGAAACAGCTGATGTCGAAAGCGACGAAAATTGCACGAAAACTGACTATCCCCAATCTTTGGCCAGATAAATAATCGCTAGTTTTCACCTTCGGCGACCTTTAGTCGCAATATGTAAAGTAGATTCTCTTATACGAAATCTGTTCATAAAAATAATCGCGACATCTAGCCTACCTTTAACGGAGGACTGGTAAATTATTATTTTAATTTATAGATATGTAAATAAAATTTCTATAGATTAATACTAACAGTTAATGTCGATTACGACCAACAGAAAGGGCTTTTCAGTAACTCTCACGTTGATATGGAACTCAGGCTTTGATTGTATCAAATATTAGACACACAGTAGGTTTTCGGAAACACTCATCCGATTTACCCGATCATTGGCAATGATCAATCTTGGTACCTAATTCACAAGAAGGTAATTCGAAACTAAAATTTACGAAAATTAAAATAACCCTTAAAAAAAGTTGGGTCTTTTATTTTGTGTACATTGTTGGGGTTTAATCAATTTTGGTAAATTTACCGACGTCGAACCAACGTTGGCGGAAAACTTAGTGCCGCATATTTGAATTTAGTCGAATGACAACGTCCGACCAACGTTGCCTACTATACCAAAGCTTACCTAGCCATAATAGGTTATATGGCGACGTTAGCGACGTCCAAAGATAACTTTCAATATTTTAATCGAGAAAGGACGTCACGCCAACGTTGGCAAATTACTCGTAGGTAAGCTACTTTAATTTTCGTAGGCGGCTTGCGTGGTCGAAGCATCGTTGTGCCGACGTTGTACTGCGACTGAAGCTGTGAAGTCGTAATACGATTAATATATGAACCTATTCTGACGTTAAAATAGGTGCAAATAACGCTGGAAGACGGAAAAAATTTACTTGGAATAGTAATATACCAAGTCTGAATTTTGTAAATGATCCGAAAAGACTAGCAGCTCATCCACTTTATTTCGAATCCTCGCCATTACTTCTCAACTCCTGCTGATATAAATCAGACTCTACCCTGTCCAATGTAGCAGAATTATTGAGCACTCCACAGTTATTAGAAAGCGTTTCTCTTACACTTCTTAACATACTCTGCTAGACATAATCAAGAAACTGAAATTAGGAAGGCATGACTATCAACAATAATTAGTTTGGCTAATTTATTTGCCTTACTGAAAATAAGCAATTTTCTTAACTTACTCCAAACCCTAACCTAGGGACATTGACAAATTCAATACCCGACATTCCTGGTAAAGTTTTGCAAGTTTTTTCTCTATCTATTTTCAGAAATAATGAAATTAGCACCTCTACCATGGATTACATTATTATATCAATTGATATGTCATACTCAACAAACTGCCCTCCGTCCATATCCTGCTTCTGAAGTTGACTCTCCATTTATGGCAATCGGAAGAGGTTCAACCATAAGAAGGGCTTTGGTTCAGTCCTGTTCGGATTTGATTTTTTGCCAAGGAGCCTTATTGGACACCGTACAAAGACAAGGGCTGTATAAGGATTCGAAAAGGTTCGTTGATATGAGCCTGAAACACGACCAAGAAACTACGTTGAAAAATTTTCGGAAAATGATGAGCGATTCTGGTGAGAAACCTAGTAAGGCTGTTGTACGGAAATTTGTCGAAGAAAATTTCGAGTTTGTTAGTGAGACGGTAAGGATCAGATATTGGAAGCTTTCGCTATCTAGTTTCTTCTGGATTTATGGATTAGTTTCATAGCTAAATAATCTTTATCCACGTCCTTTTTTAGGAATCTTGGACACCTACAGATTTCAATCAGTCGCCGACATTTTTAAACACCATCAAGGATACTAAGGTGAAAAAATTCGCCAAATCACTAGTATCGCTATGGCCCCTTTTAGGACGTCGTATCAAGGATAGTGTAAAGACAGACCCAAAAAGGCACTCGCTGATACCGGTTCCTGAAGGATTTATAGTACCCGGAGGAAGGTTCAGGGAGATTTACTATTGGGATTCGTATTGGATAATTGAAGGTGAATCATGTATTAATGTTTCATGAATTAAAATTTTACAATTTTCACAAGTCTATAGCAACACCTAGAACAAATGTATCTGCCATGGGATAGATGTTCTCAAGCGAATGAACATCCCATTTCAAGCAAAAATCATTCTTAAAGCCTAATGTGGCTTCTAACAACCAATCGTACTACTTCAAGCCATTTTCTTCTAGGTTTACTAATAAGCGAAATGAAGAACACCGCCAAAGGAATGCTAACCAATTTGGCCTACTTCATCAAAAATTACGGTTTCATTCCGAACGGTTCGCGAGTGTACTACCTGAACCGGTCTCAACCGCCCCTTTTCACCATGATGGTAGGACTCTACATGGACTATACCAACGACCAGGCTTGGTTGGCATCAAACGTTGAATATATCGAGAAAGAAATGATGTTTTGGTTGGACACTCGGACGCTTACTATAACCAAATCTGGATCGACTTACCAGTTGGCGCATTATGGTACTCGTAGCAATACGCCCAGGCCGGAGTCATACGCGGAAGATTTGGAGACGTGTAAACGAGTTGAGGATGACGTTGGAAAGGTAATAAGGTAATCATATCTCTATTAACTTTGAAACTATTAATTTCATCTAATTTGGTGTAAACTACATACATGATAATCTGGTCAGACTTAGTATAAAGTATCTACAATACTTAAGAGTCATTTTTGAACATATGTACAAACTGCCATAATATGTAATTTGATTACGATACCTGAAATATTTTTGACATGTCTAAGTTACTTGCGATGCTTTTTCTGGTCATCCCTGCATTAGATATTCACTAAGTTTTTGAAACTCTTCTTGCTGTGCTTTTTCAACCATTTGGTGTGTTAACTTCAAGTTATCTTCAGTTTCTTTCCTTATAACAATTACATAGCATTCAATTTCTTCTTCCAATACATCTTTTCCATTATCTATCTGTTTCAGTGGCTGTTTTGATAACGTATCTGATACATAGAATTTTTTTCCAGCGACATGTTCAATCTCGAATGTAAATCTAGGTAATTTAAGTCTAAATCGTTGCAATCTTACAGTCAAATCATTTATAGATTTCTTCTTTGGGATACCCAAAAGTGGTAAATGATCAGTTTGTATAGTAAATGATTTACCTATAAGGTACTCTTCCAGTCTTTCACATACCCATACAATAGCATATGCTTCCTTTTCAATTTAGGCATAGCGTTATTGTTGTGTTTCACTTAGACTTTTTGAACAATAAATAACAGAAGCCCATCTCCCATCTGGTTGTAATTGTTCTAAACAGCCACCAATTCCGAAAGAACCCGAGTCTGCGAGAATTCTTGTTTCTTTAGTAACATCATAAGCCTTTAAAACTGGTGCACTTGTGACAAGTATTTTTAATTTATTAAAACACTGTCGATAGATATCATTAAACTGAAAAGTATTGTAACGTTTTAAAAGTTCGCCTAGAGGCTTTGTTTCATCTGCAATATTTTCAAGAAATTTTGCAAGATGATTTATCATACCAAGAAATTGCCTCACATTTGCTACTGTTTTGGGTTCTTCAAAGTCTAATATAGCCTTTATATTGTCACTCTCCATTCTTATACCCAATTGTCCGATAATGTGTGCAAGTAATTTCACTTCCGAAATGCCTATCTGACATTTCGACTCGTTTAAGGTAAGTCCATTGTCTCGTAACACTTTAAGCAGTCTTTTTAACCTTTTATCATGCTGTGCAATATTTTCTCCAAAAACTGTAATATCATCAATGTACTCTGAAAAATTTCTGGAGCTGAAGTAATTCCAAAAGGAATTCTCTTATAAATGTACCTTCCAAAAGGTGTTAAAAAGGCAGTGTAGTACTTGGAACCTTCTGATAATGGAAGTTACCACTTGATACTCAATCTAATTTTGAAAATACTTTTCATTTCTTAATTGTGCCAGTGTAGAATCCACTGTTGATAAAATAATGTTTTCTCTTAAAACAAATTTATTGAGCTCAGTGAAGTCAGCACATATTCTAACTTGATCATTTGTTTTGGGGACACAAACCATTGGTGCACACCATGGAGTAGGATTATTGTAATTCACATGCTCAATTATCTCTTGATCTACCATTTTCTGTAGCTCTCTTTTAACTTTATCCATTATTGGAAGTGCTACTCTTCTGGGTGCTGAATTTGAGTATGGCACACAGTTTTCTGTCATTTTTATCTTGTATTCATAGACTTTTAATTTCCCAATTCTGTTGAAAAGTTCTGGGAAATATTTTGTAATTTTTCTCAAACATAGTTTTTCAGTACCTACTCACAGTTTTCTGGGTATTGATGCTATTAGTTAGTTCAAGTCCTGTATTGCAGGTCTGCCAAGTAAATTTTCACGATTTTCCATGACATATACCTTGATTTTGTTATTTTCACCCTTATAACTGATCTGGAGTGTATACCTACATTTTCCAATAACAATTAATGGACATCCTCCTGGACCCTTCAATTTTACTTTAGTACATTTCAGTGTTGGTTTTTCTTTTAGCTTGTTATAAGATGTCTTACTCAAAACTGTTACATCAGCACCTGTGTCAATCTTGAAAGATATTTCTTCCTCAGGAACTTTTAGTGCTATTTTCCATGCAGTATTCGAGCCACTCTGTATTTCTCCGACTATTTCGCCAACTTCAGAGTCTTCGGATGAGTCGGAGTCGTCAACTTCATTAACATGCTTGAATTTGCTAGTAGTTTGTTTCTGCGTTTTACACATTTTACTGTAGTGACCTTTCATTGAGCATTTTTGACTGCGTTCATTTAATGCAGGGCATTCTTTTAACCTATGACTTGGTTTTTTACCGCATTGACCACATTGTGCATAAGTTTTCGTTGATTGATTACCGACGTTTCGTGATTTAGGAGGGAATTATCCTGTAGACCTTTATTTTCCCATTTAATTCTTTCAGTTTGGACAATTTTTGCTTTAGCAGATTCAAGTGTTAAGCTACTGTCTAACTGTAAGTTTTTGTCCAATCCACATTAATTTAGAGTCTTTTTCTTTTATTTTTTCTTTATTATATTTACTATTATTTATGTGTATCTAATCTTATAAGTTAAGCACGGCAACGTCTCATTTTCGTTATCTAATTTCTAATGCGTCAGCACCAAACAAAAGGGAATTTTTTACAACCCTGCCTCCAGGCATTTTTATATTTTGTGTAATCCTCTCTCTCTTGATTTTTGGGCTTGGTGCGACACAGTTCGTTTGCTCCGCATTATTTTTTAGTTTAAAGTTTCACCTCTGAAGAATAAATAATTATTTTGAATGGGTTGTTACTTATTTATCATAATTTATCCCCAATTCAACTTAACAAGCCAGCATTTGCAACAAAGCGTCGATGTGAATCGTTTAATATTGCTGAAAACAACACATGATGCAACATTTGATGTCGCTGAAGTTAGCATCAGATTCAGAAATGAAAATCGTGTTTTTACAGTCGACCAAATAAGTAGTGCCACAAATAAAATAAATCAAAAAATCTATTCTAAAAGATTCTGTAACATCATCAAACTTGGTGGAAATAATACTGAGGGTGATGTACGTCACATACTGAAAAATCATATGTCCAGGGAGGGGTTGAAGGGGGTAGATTCCGCCCCAAAAATGTAAATGAGATCAGATATCGAAAATTTTGTAGCACCACCAAAGTTGGTGGAAATATTTCTTGAACAGATACGAGGGACATATCAAAAAAGCAAATGTTTATCTCGGGGTTGAAGAAGGGAAATTCAACCCCAAAGTTGACGAAAAAAACCAAACTTCCTTGAAACACTTTGTAGCAGTTTCAAAGTTGGTCGAATTATTCCTTGGAAAGATACACGTGGCTGAAGTTAGCTTCATATTCATATTCAGATTCGTGTATATTACAGCCGACCAGATAAATATTGAAAAGAAAAATTAAAAAACCGCGAAATTCAATCAAATACAATTAATTATGTAGGGGATTTCTGAGATTCGGAAAAGGCAGAAATAACCCTCAGGCACATTCAAGGATATTTTCTCCAGTTAAGTTAGGTCTGGGAAAGTCACTACAGGGGAAAAACGACAATTTGTTTGACAATTTGTAGAGAATTAATGATGCCTTGTGGGTTTTTTTTTGGAATTTGAGAATGATGGAGTTGAACCTTAAGCACAGTTCAGAAAAGTTTTTACGGTCAAGTTAGGTCTGCGAGAGTCCCTACGGGGGGAAGTCGATAATGTATTGGAAAATTCGAGAAAAATTAATGATACTTTGTAGGGATTTTTTGAAGGTTGAGAATGATAGAGTAGACCCTAAAGCAGAGTCCAAAATAGTTTTTGCATTCAAGTTAGGTCTGGGAGATTCGTTACGGGGGAAAGTCGATAATTTATTGGAAAATTCGTGAAAAATTAATGATACTTTGTAGGGATTTTTTGAAGGTTGAGAATGATAGAGTTGACCCTAAAGCAGAGTCCAGAATAGTTTTTGCATTCAAGTTAGGTCTGGGAGATTCGTTACGGGGGGAAGTCGATAATTTATTGGAAAATTCGTGAAAAATTAATGGTACTTTGTAGGGATTTTTTGGAGGTTGAGAATGATAGAGTAGAACCTAAACCAGAGTCCAGAATAGTTTTTGCAATCAAGTTAGGTCTGGGAGATTCGTTACGGGGGGAAGTCGATAATTTATTGGAAAATTCGTGAAAAATCAATGATACTTTGTAGGGATTTTTTGAAGGTTGAGAATGATTAAGTAGACCCTAAAGCAGAGTCCAGAATAGTTTTTGCATTCAAGTTAGGTCTGGGAGATTCGTTACGGGGGAAAGTCGATAATTTATTGGAAAATTCGTGAAAAATCAATGATACTTTGTAGGGATTTTTTGAAGGTTGAGAATGATAGAGTAGACCCTACAGCAGAGTTCAGAATAGTTTTTGCATTCAAGTTAGGTCTGGGAGATTCGTTACGGGGGGAAGTCGATAATTTATTGGAAAATTCGTCAAAAATTAATGATACTTTGTAGGGATTTTTTGAAGGTTGAAAATGATGTAGTAGACTCTAAAGCAGAGTCCAGAATAATTTTTGCATTCAAGTTAGGTCTGGGAGATTCATTACGGGGGGAAGTCGATAATTTATTGGAAAATTCGTGAAAAATTAATGGTACTTTGTAGGGATTTTTTGAAGGTTGAGAATGATTAAGTAGACCCTAAAGCAGAGTCCAGAATAGTTTTTGCATTCAAGTTAGGTCTGGGAGATTCATTACGGGGGGAAGTCGATAATTTATTGGAAAATTCGTGAAAAATTAATGGTACTTTGTAGGGATTTTTTGGAGGTTGAGAATGATAGAGTAGAACCTAAACCAGAGTCCAGAATAGTTTTTGCAATCAAGTTAGGTCTGGGAGATTCGTTACGGGGGAAAGTCGATAATTTATTGGAAAATTCGTCAAAAATTAATGGTACTTTGTAGGGATTTTTTGGAGGTTGAGAATGATGTAGTAGACCCTAAAGCAGAGTCCAGAATAGTTTTTGCATTCAAGTTAGGTCTGGGAGATTCATTACCAGGGGAAGTCGATAATT